ATTGATTAGGGATGCCAGTGATGTAGATCTACAAATCTGTAGGTTGCTAACCTACAGGTGAGCTGACCTAGAGCTATACCAACCCACGCCAATCATTGATCAGGGCTACTAACAAAAGAAGTTGTAACTGATTAGCATACTTATGTCAACAGGCCACTTCGCTCTAAGGATGGAAGCTGGCCTGGTGGCAAGGGCGCAAAGGGTCCTGCAAGAGCACCCTGAGGCCGCTCGCGTCCTTGCTCCTAGTAGCGATGCACTTGTTCCTAGTAGCTTCTTGCTCCTAGTAGTAAGGCCAGGAGCCCCTAGTAGCGTCCTTGCTCCTAGTAATGGGTTTTCCGCATGGACGAGGCATGAAACAAGGTGATTTGGTGGTCACTCCACTGTGGTGATTTGTTGGTCAATGGGCTATGCCTGTTAACCCCAAACATCCAGATTCATCTCCATCCCTCGAGCATTTACATGTCATCTCCATTCATCTCCATCCCAAGTAGTAACAAGAAGCTACTAGGAACAAGAAGCTACTAGGGGCTCCTGGCCTTACTACTAGGCAAGGACGCTACTAGTAGCTCCTGGCATTACTATTAGTACAAGAAGCTGCTAGTAGCTCCCCTTTGGCTCCACCTCGCAGCCTGCACGTGCGGCCCCCAGGTCCGCGCCTTTCTGCTGGAAAGCACTCGACTGCCGCGACACCTGGCGCACGCCGTGAGGAAAGCCACTGCCAGGCAAGGTGAGTCTCAATGGGAAGTGCCGTCGCTGGGAAGCAAAAAGCTCACGAATTCGTAGAACTGGTGTAAAGAAAAACCAATAAAGGTCTCTTCCAAGTCTGAAATCTTCAGTTTTTGCTTTTGTCTTTCTCTCCACTTGTGCGGGCGCAGATCAAGGTGTACCTGACATGACTGATCTGATGTGTACGATGTGTCCGTCTATGTTGGTGCTTAACGCTCATTCCTGGTGCATCTCCTGCATCGCAAGAGGCACGCCTCTCCAATTGTCACAGTACCCGCGATCCGCGGCCATCTATCCAAGACCTGGTGTATATGGCTCAACCTGCCACTCACACAGCAGTTTGTGTTACAAAAAGGACTCAGAAGCTGGACAAGCTGGACACTCCTCAATTGGTCGGAGCTGCACAGACTATGGGCTGACAGACATGGCTGCTTTGGAATCCTCCTTTTCAAGTTATCCCAAAAGGAGCTACCCTTTGCAGATTGGTCACATCCATCGCTACTAGGTTGGAGGCCATCGCTAGTAGGTTGGAGGCAGTCCAGATCGATCCAGATCGGACATCTCTTCGGCTGGAGGCCAGTCTTCGATGCTCATCTTTTGTGCCACTGGGCTTCAAGAGGTGTGCGCTCTCCACAATTTCAGAGTGTACCCATTTCTCAAAGTATCCTTGTGGCCCTCAGTAGATGATTTAGATGAAAGATTCAATCTTTAGCTGTTTGGAAGCTACTAGGAACAAAGGGCGTCGCTACTAGTAGCAAGAAGCTACTAGTAACGAGGGCATCGCTATTAGTAACAGGTGCATCGCTGCTAGTAGCAAGGACGCTACTAGGAGCAAGGACGCTATTAGGGGGCTCCTGGCATCGCTAGTAGGAACAAGAAGCTACTAGGGGCTCCTGGCCTTACTACTAGGAGCAATGTTCGCTACTAGGAGCAAGAAGGGCATGTTGGCGTCATCGACGGAGCCCCTAGTAGCGTCCTTGTTCCTAGTAGTAAGGCGAAGTTGTTTTTTCGCATGTGCGTGACCAAGGTGACTTTTACATCGATAGCCATATGGACCGGGGAGTCACCGAATGGTCAAGAATTCCGGGCAAAGGCTGATGCCTTTTCAACACAGGATGTTTCCCCCGGTATTCTCCGGCGCCTAGACTCAGACCATTTGTTGTTCATCAGTGTGAGCAAGGGAGGTTTGTGATTGCAGGAAGTCGTCCACCCAGTCTCCTCCACACAAATCAAACTCAGAAAATGCACACAAAGGGAAAAGTAGCAGTCCATGATCACAAGGCGGGGATCAAATATCGCGGCGGATGGTTCAGTTGAAAGACCGTCCTTTCTGTCCTTTCCTGAAAAAGTACGTGGGGGAGACGGAATCAAGAGTTTGATCGCAGGAAAAAGACCTAATAGCGCTGGCCTCCAACCTAGAAGCGTCCTTGCTCCTAGTAGCGATGCCAGGAGCCCCTAGTAGCGAACATTGCTCCTAGTAGTACGGCCAGGAGCCCCTAGTAGCGTCCTTGCTCCGAGAAGCGATGGCCTGCACGAGTTTCCTTCGCCAGGACAATCCGCGCTTTGGGAAGAAATCGCATGAGCCGAAGGCCGGGAATCGATGGAGCAGGTTGCAGCTGTACAGAAGCGTTCCAATCACCAGACCGGTGCCTCTCCATGGCCATCCTTCATGTGCTTCTCTGTGTTTGAGCACTTCTCATCCTTTTCATCCCCTCTGAACTTTCAAAGAAATAACCCCAAAGAAGATGCCAAAAGGCGTTCCATCCCCGTGCGCTGTCCGCTCGTTCTCGCCCTGCGTCGCCATTGCGTCCCCCTGCAAGGCGAAGCCTTGGGTGTCGCGCCTCGCCAGCTGGGCCAAGAAGGTGCCGAATAGCTTCTTGCTCCTAGTAGCGATGCTGGCCTCCAACCTACTAGCGATGGCCTCCATCGGGGAAGATGGTGGACGTTCGGTGAAGCAAATGGTTCGATTCACTGATTTTTTTGGGAAACGGTTCACATCCTGCAGCATCCGCACCTCGGATCGATAATGTTTGTATGTTGGCGAGCTTGGATTTGAGGCTTTTGGTCACGGTTCCGCTTTCGTGATGGTCAGGTTGGCATGAAGGCCTACACGAGCTGGGAGCATGTGCCCTGTTTGCCGTGCGTGATTTCACCGCAGTGGTCGCTGGAGGGAGTGAAGCCGCAAAGCTAAGCCCGGAAAATTAGGGAAGCTCGGTGGGGCAGAGACGAGTTTGGAGGAGCTGGCCTAACAGCACTGGCAGAAAGCACGGCCCTGCTAATCTTTGGAAACCATACATATCACACTTGCGTGGAGGAGCTGACATCTTCATAGAAAACCCATTCGCTCAGAATGTTTGTGTGAGCAGGGGCCTCTTGCCTTTTTACCTCAAAAGCACAGAGAATGGGGTTACTAAGTCTTTAAGTCTCTAGTAATTTCAGCATTTGAATACCAGATCTTCCTGCTCGACCTGACTCCCATCCTGTTAGGCGATCAAGCCGCCGAAGGCCGTGGCGGCTGTGGGGGTGAAGTTGGGTGTGATCCGCTTGGACTACCACTACCCACCGGCCCGTGGGGATGTGGATCATCCAGGCCATCCGAGTGAATCATGGGAGGTCATGGGTGTTGAGCGTCCGAACGCTCCGTTCGAGTCGTGTTGCCAGGAGCCCCAAGCGTAGCGTCCTTTGACCTATGAATGTGGGCCTATCCCAGTAAACCAGTTTCACAGTAAAAAAGATGTTCGCTCTTTTGGGCAAAAAAGGTGTGCAACCTGAGAAAATCATCACCCAGTTGGGGCTTGGGAGTTTGTTGTGTTGTGGATTCGGTCGCCTTTTGGTGAGTTCCGTTTGCGGGCACCACCTGCGGATTGGCACAGGCAGCTACGGCTATGAGGTGCACTACCACATGGCCCCTTGGTAGCGAAGAAGGCCTAATAACAATGGCCTCCAACCTAGTAGCGATGAAGAGGATTTGCACGGACCCTTTAAAAGCAAATGCAGATGAAGCTGAGTGGTCCGGACTCCCAAGGACTCCGCAGGTAAAATCCTTAAAAGATGCCCCATTGGAGGTGGCTCCAAGACGAAGGGCGAACGAAGAACTTCCAACGTCCATCGTTTGCATTGCGAAACACCAGCCAACACGTTGCACGAGCCACTCTTGTTCATCTCCCTGCCCATTTCAGCGGGTGGAGTGCTCGAAGAGCGTCCTGAGGTGGAAAGACATTCGGTTGGAGGCCATCGCTATTAGGAGCAAGGACGCTACAATCGGGGCTCCTGGCCTTACTACTAGGAGCAATGTTCGCTACTAGGAACAAAGGGCATCGCTAGTAGGTTGGAGGAATTTTAGAAAAAAGGAAAGCAAAGACAATTGTTCTCTTCGCAACCTCAGGTGGAGGGCCTGACCTTTGAGATGTGCCAATCGGGGAAGCTCACGCCGGAAGTGGAGGCGACCATCTGTCCGAAGTGGGGCGACGATTTGCCCTATCCAGAAGGATTATAGGATCAGGATTGTGGGAAGAAGTCAAGAACCTGTCAGTCGTGATTCATTTGAGTGTTTGTTTTCTGTTGTTTTTTGAATGTGTGTTTGATTCTCCATGATCCTCCTAAAGCAGGGTGAGTTGCCCTGCCAAATGAAAGCCGCGGATTTGGGCAGAACCTCGAAGAGTTGGGTCGAATGACCTCAGATCACCTATTCCAAGTCATTTCAGAGAGTCTTTTTGTAAACTGTCAACTGCACAATCCTCCACTTGTGTTCAGCGGCTTCCTCACGGTCCGACGGCAAGGCCGCCTTCTTGCACGGCTTGCGCACCTTGGAGTCGAAAGGTGTCTCCGCCGCTCGGCTGCGGCGCGCGCCCTGTGGAAGGAAAGGGGTTTTGGGGCTCCATTGGATTAGGACGCTATGAGGTGGAGGCCATTGCTACTGACAAGAAGCTAGTATGGAAACACCGAAGCCACAGGATTTCGTTTGGTCGGATCCTTCCACAAGCAGCGATTCATGGGAAGCATTTCCACCCTCTCTGGGTTTTGTAAAGCCGCCTAGGTCGTCTCCCCAGACCAGTGATGGCCTGCAACCTAAGAGCGATGGCCCAAATAGCTCCAAGAAGGTTGGGTTCTGAAGGTCATCACCGGGGATTGTGGCTTCATGATGTGGCTCCAAGAGTTGGCCCGGAAGAACACCAAGCTCCCAGTGCCTTTGGCGGTTGGTACAGTTGGAGCCGATCGCTGTTCGGCGGTGCACTGGAGTCACGTTGCGTTCGGCGTCGACGTTATACTCCAGAGAGTCTGTTAGATGGTCCAGGTATGTCCAGGTTGGCAGATGGTCCAGGCATCATGTGTGGCGCTCAACAGGTTTTGAACACTGGAACACAGGTCATCATGAGCTCGCTGGTGACTTTACCTGTTCTCACCAGCTCCTATCACCACGGAGAGAAGATCGCCATCTTCACCGCGAATGGGCAATCACTCCTCAGCAGCTTGACGGGTGGAGCTGGCGGAACGGGAGAGGACTCGGAGAGGACTCGGAGAGGATGTAGATGATACATTTCAGGGTTGATTTGCCGATGACAACACACACCCCTTGCTGTTCTGCTTTAGTCACAGCTTTGCGATCTGGTGTTTATCCGATCTATATATCCATGCTTGAAAAATGTACTGGAACAGACTTTAAGACCCACTCAAGACTTTGGGTGGTGACAACAAAGACCACGACTTCGTAAGACCCTTTGTTGGTCTGAACATGTCTGAACCAACGGCTTTGAATGTGGTATAATCGGTATAATAATTAAGAGAAGACCCCCAAACTCCGCTGTTCAGGAAGGGAAGACACATGAAAGCAGCTGAACACCCAGGTGGAGACAGTTGTCTTTTCGGTGTCACGTTTCGGCCCCTATGAGAGACCAAACACGATGGCCTCCAACCTAGTAGCGATGACCTGCAGCCCGTTCGTAGCAATCCCTCCCAGAGCCTTTTCCCGTGAAAAACCTCCGCATCGCTGCTTCGTGCCCAGCTATGGAAGAGCTCATCAAGAAGGAATGTCGCAAAGAGGACCGGTGCCGCGTCGTCCAAATCGCTTCACCGGTTCGGTTCGCGTGTTCCGGGACCTTCCGGGACTTGCTGAAAACGGTTCAGAAGCCGTGCTCTTCCAAGGTGCGCGTGAAGTGCTGAAATGGCCCTTCTCCCGACCCCCAGACCTCTTCCAAGAGCAGCATCGAAACTACATCGCAAGAGCACGATTTACTATTTGCTCATCCCGTTCTGGCGGGCCATATTTGATCCGGGAAGCCTTGAGCTGTGACGGAACTCACGGACTTACGATAGATCACCTCCAGTACCGCTGACGCTCAGACTTTTGTATCACCTTCTGTGGTGGATCTGTAGGTCAGTGGTGAGTTCCTATAGGGATTGCAACCTCCCTTGGTGGTACTTGTAGCCATTGTTCAAAGCGCGATTCTTCCATTAGCCTGACACATTGGCTTGACACTCCGGAGTCACAGTGTAATCTCCAATGTTTGCCTACCATTTTCCAGCAAAAACCAGTCTTCCCTTGCTTGTTCATCTTTTCCAGCAAACACGATGGATGCTTTTCATCTCGGCCCCTTCAGCTGGGAGGAGCAGCCCTTTATCTTCGTCGGCTGTGAGGAGGTGCCAGGCTTCGAGGCCGTGGCCTTGGGGCAGAAAGTGGACGCCGCTTGGGCGAGGACGAGCACGTGAGGATGGCGGATGGGGATGGCGAGGGGTTGGAGATGAAGACCTACTCAGGAAAAGTGGAGAACCTGAAAGCCAACTAAGCCTTTTGGAGGATTGCTCTTGGGTTGGAGGTCATCGCCAGTAGGTTGGAGGCCATCGCTAGTAGAAACAAAGAAAAAGACAATGAAGGGAGGTCTAATATAGTTTGCTAGCGGGGAGCGTCGAAAGCATGTGCACTGCGCCAAGGTGAAGAAGGTCACTCCGGGGATCGTGGAGAAGGCGAAGCAGGTCTTGCGGGCACACCCGCAGGCGAAGGGTTCCAAGCCAGTTTCTTTGGATTTTACAAGTTTCTTAGCGCTTCCACTCCAGGAATTAAGCAAAAAGACGCACCGGAATCATATTGCTTGTGCTGCCAGCGAAATTAGACCTGAAAGATATCAAACAAACCATCTTGAGACCGATGCCTGCGCGATGCCTGTGCCAAAGCTGTCATGGCATGAAGCGTTGAGAGACTACTACAAAAATACCGACCTTCATGTTAGTACTAGCTTCTTGTTTCTACCAGCTTCTTGTTACTACTAGCAAGGCACCTGTTACTACTAGCGTGGCACTTGTTACTACTAGCTTCATTTCTCTAGAAACCTGGCAAAACCTTTGACTTCCACAACCCCCAGACGAATCTCGGAACCGTCGCTGTTGGGCAAGCACCCAGCACATGAAACCTTTCCACCGGTGTGACCGTGTGACCCCCGCCAGGTGCGCGCGATCTTGATGGAGTGCACGGAGCTGCCACCCTACAGTGATGCCGTGCGCTACTTCTGCGGCGTCCCGGTCTTCGACGCCATCACGGCCTGTGACTTTTACATCGCCTGCCCACTGTCTATGCACTGAGTAGCTAGCGCATCGCTACCTACTAGCAAGGGCATTACTAGTAGTAGCTTCTCTAGCAAAAAGACGAAACATTGTTGTGCTCATGTTTGTTCGTCTAGGTTGGAGGCCTCCGCTTCTAGGTTGGAGGCCATCGCTATTAGGTTGGAGGCCATTGCTATTAGGTTCGAGGCCTGTGTGCTCTATATTTCTTCGTCAACCAACCCAGGGCAGGGAATCTCGAGCAGTCTAGAAAGACACGTTCTTGAGAAAGAACAAATAGTATGGCCAGGAGCCCCTAGTAGCGTCCTTGCTCCTAGTAGCGATGCCCTTTGCTCCTAGTAGCGATGCCAGGAGCCCCTAGGAGCGTCCTTGCTCCTAAAGGGCCAAGGGTTCCAGGACCTTTTTCCGATCATCGAAGCCTTCGCCCACCCCGATCGAGTTTTTTCCGAGGTCACGGAGAGAAGATGAAGCTGTGAATCTTGGACTGAGCACTTACTAAAAAGAGAAAAGAACAAAACAGAAAAGAGATTTAAAATGAAGAAGAAAACAAACTAATGGCCTCCAACCCAATAGGGATGGCCTCCAACCTACTAGCGATGGCCTCCGACCTACTAGAGATGAGCCACACAAGCGGCGTCGACTGAGCACTTAACAATTTCTGAGCTCTCAAAAGCACTTTGCTAAGGAACTAGCGGAACCTCTGCGCCTGCAGTACACCAGTGAGGCAGCCAGAACCCTTTGGTACCACGGGCATTTGATCAGCGCTTGCCAAAGAGACGCAACCCACAGGGGCGCGTTGACCATGACAGACGAACCTGACAGGGGTCATGCTGACCTTTGCAAGTCGCACAGTCAAGCCGAAACAGGACTTCATTTTCTGGTGGTCCTCTATGAGGGGAGTCCAAGCTGGAAGGGTGTTAGGTGAAATTGGCAGCACTCATAGTCCCGAAAGCTCGGGTTGTGCTAAGGCTTTTTGCACTGTTTTTTTAACGCGTAGGACACCCTTCCTTGATTGGACGATGCACTCACCTTTGTATATACTCTGTATATAGCCATCTTCAATACCCTTTCAAATTCTCTTGTCAATTTTGGTGCATTTTTGAAAGCATGTGCCACCAACGGCTGGTGCAGCTGCAAATTTTGAAGACAGTTGGATCTCCCAATCGGCATGTGGTGAAATGATAGCTGAGGCCTTGCTCCTGATAGCGCAGATCTGCCCCATGTTAGCACATCCCAATAGCGTCCTTGCTCCTAGTAGTAAGGCCAACTGGAGTTAGCTTCTCACATCCAAAAGTCTTTCGCGTCTCACCACATTTTCCGACGGAAACCACATCACATGGACCGCTTTCACCGCTCTGCCAACCGTTTCAGCGCCCGGCCGGCGATCGAGCCGAGCCCCACCGTGTCACCGTGTCACACTGGTTGGCACTGGTGGTGCGGAATCTTCCCGAGGGACGTCCAATGGCAAGGAAGGTCGAAGACATTTGGAGTGTTCTGAGTGTACCATCATGCCGAAAGACATCGGAAGAAAGAGGAAAAGAAAAAGAAACATGTTTGAGTATCATGTGTTTGATGACTTGCTTGTATTGACCGATGAAAGGTTGTGACTCTTTCAAAGCGATTGGACGGTGAACTCAACATTGTAGATAGCATGTGCAAAACTGACTTCAATACCCCGTCTTCCCAGTTTTGATGCCTTTGAATGCATTTTGAGCCATGTGCTGGAATTCAGCACATGTGATGCAGGTCCTTGCAGATTTTGAGGACAGACAGGAACTCTCCGTTCCCAAAAATGGCAAGTGGTGAACATGTCCGGTGACATCTGACTAAATGTTGAAGCACCCGAGAGATGAGAGGAACATCCGTTGGCTTCATTTCGTTCTGCCCCTTGTTTCGTTCACCGCTCTCCCAGCGTTTCGCCCGCAAAGCGACAGCCCCCACCACGACCGCCTTTGTGGGGATCCCGCGCGCTGACCAAGAAGCGCGCCGTGGAAGCGACCAAGACCCAAAGCGGCGGGGAGTGTGGCGATGAGCCGAAAAGGAGTTCTCTCTGCGAGGCCAGGAGCCCCGATTGTAGCGTCCTTGCTCCTAATAACGATGTTTCTGCGATGTCTGGGCTACAACCCTAGAGGGCTATGAAATGCTTAGTAGCCCTGGCAGGACAGTGGGAAGAACATGGTTTTGGGGTGGAGGTGGCACTGGGTTGTGAGGTTTGGTGATGTCAGCTTGGTGGCAGGAACAACCACTAGGACTGAAAGGGAAGACGCAAGCTATTGTTTCCGAAGCTACTAGTAGCTCCTGGCAATACTAGTTGTAAGCTACTAGTAGCTATTCGCTCTCAGTAGTAAGGCACCCTTGTTACTACTAGCGTGGCACTTGTTACTACTAGCGTCCTTGCTCCTAGTAGTATTGCCAGGAGCTACTAGTAGCTTCTTGTTACTACTAGTAAGGCACTTGTTACTAGTAATAATGCCCTTGTTACTAGTAGCTTCTTGATGCTAGTCGTAATGCCAGGAGCTACTAGTAGCTTCTTGTTGCTACTATATTAGTCCGTTCTTTTCTTTTCTTTGTTTCTAATTGCGATGACCTCCAGCAGCCTCCAACCTACTAGCGATGGCCTCCAACCTAGTAGGGATTGCCTCCACCCTAATAGCAATGGCCTCCAACCTAATAGCAAACTACATTAGTCCTTTCTTCCTGTTCTTTCTTCTTTGTTTCTAATAGCGATGGCCTCCAACCTACTAGCGATCGTCTCCAACCTAGTAGGGATGGCCTCCAACCTAATAGGAATAGGTGGTTGAATGAAAATCTACTTGGCTGGAATCTGATCAGGTCCAGTTGTTCAAGCCACAGGCAAATAAAGTCGTAAGTACTTTGCTCCTAGTAGCGTCCTTGTTCCTAGTATAAGGCCAGGAGCCCCTAGTAGCTTCTTGTTCCTAGTAGCGATGCCCTTTGCTCCTAGTAGCGTCCTTGTTCCTAGTACTGCTTTCAAGTACTGCAATCAAGCCCTTCAACTAAGTACTCCACATGCTGCGCATTGCTGCGAATATCTTCCGTCCACTCTTGTGAGGCTCCTTCTTGCCGTCCAGCTGTCCAAAAGGATCGTTTCTGGCGGGGCGTTGGAAGAGACATGGAAAGTCCTTCTCATGAACAGAGGCCTTTACTAGTAGCAAGAAGCCATTCGGTTGGAGGCCATCGCTAGTAGGTTGGCCATTGAAGCCAAGCCGGCAGAGCCCCGGAGAAAAAGGAAAGCCCCGGTTGGCCTCGTCGGATTCCTCGTGCGCAGGAAACGAAAGAAAGCGCTCAACAACCATTGGAGACAAGACTCGGATTCACTGGTGCATCAACGACGAGGATTCACTGAAGATCTTCCATGCATACTGTTTGGCTCAGGCTCCTGAAGGGAGGCTTGCTTCTTTTCGCTGCATGTTGTCTAGACAAAGTTAGGGTGCTTCCTTCCTTAGACCCTTTTGTGCAACCCCTGAGTTTGCTTGACTACAGAACCTTCTGCAACCCCTGAGCCGCCACAGAAATCAAGGCCCTCCAACGACCCACGGAATTGGTCCAATCGACCCGGAGACCCGGTCGACTGCCTCGGCCGCGGGCGGGTGTCGCCCATCCGCCGCGGGCGTTGCCGAGCGGATGGCGTCCAACTGGGCGGGGAAGGTCCGAAGCGGCTGAGACATGCCCATGGAGTACAGTTTGTGGTTCTCAGGCTCCGGGCTAGGTGGGAGGGTAGGAAGCTGGAAGCGAACAGAACACGGCTTCGTGTTTGGGGAAGCAAACAGGAACTTCAGAGTCGGGCATAGGCATAGTTGGAAAGAAACAGTCACGTCAAACCCTGACATGTTATTCGCAGACCTTTAGCCCATTAACTTAGAAATTAGACATCTGGCCAATAAGATAGAAACCACAGCTCAGCTTGTCTCATGCACTCACGCTCCAACCTGTGCCCACTGTGAGGCTTGAGCGCGTGTGGTGCCCTTGCTGCTTGCTTCCTGACCCTCCTGGGCATGCTGGCGCGCTGGGTCTTGTGATTGTAGTTGGGATTGGAGGCCAACCAAATCGGAGCCCAAAGTGATCGAGAAATCCATGACAAGACAGGATTATAAGGCAAGCGAAGAAAAAGCGAGAAGAACAGGCACTTGTTCCTAGAAGCGTGGCACTTGTTACTACTAGTAAGGCACTTGTTACTACTAGCGTGGCACTTAGTTGATCTTCTTGTGTTCAGGAATTTGACGAGTTCTCATCACGTGATCATACGGTTCACCAACACGGGGGGGCCGTTCAGTCCCGTGGTCGCACCAGACGCCCTGGTGGACCATGTCGGAGCCGGACGAACTAGCGCCCATCATCACCGAGGCGCGCGGGATTCATAGCCATTTAGATGAACTCCAACCTATCAAGCGTCCTTTGCTCCTAGTAGCGATGGCCTCCAACCTAGAAGCAATGGTACATCCAATGTCGCGTTCGCTGAGAAAGAGAAATCATGGTGATTCCGCCGCGTCGAAGCGGCGCACCGGTCGACTGGCCACGACGTTCGCGTCGCACCGGTCGACCGTCGAGGTGTCACTGTGGACCACCAATACCCGCTGGACCTTGCGCATGGACGGATGCTCGACCGGTGGGCGCATGGACCTGTCGAAGCGACGGCTAGAGCAAGGAACCGGTCTTCTTCAGGGATGTTGCCAACACACAGGTCTTTTGACATCAGGATCTAATACTTGCCACGGTCCACTCGTTATTTACTTGTAGGTCGCGGACTCTCTTCTTGTTGACGTTCAAACATCCACTCCAACCGGAGAGGGCAAGTTGCAGCTTCACAGATGCAACCAAGGTCCAGTTCCAGTCCACAGATAACGTGTTTTAAACATTCGGCATTGTTGGCTGACGTGGAATGGTCAAAGCCTTTGGATTTACCCCGAATTTTGAGGAATCAATCCTTGATGTGTTGCTGGTTGAAACTGATCTCAGGTGGTGTGGAAACCCACACGGGCTGCGCCACTCGGATTTCTTGAGTGTGCAGGGGAGCAATGTTGGATGATCATCCTCATGGTAAAGTGGTGAATCAAGCATCAATCAGCTAAGGTCTCGGGTGTAAATGATTGCAACATGTTTTGCTTTTTTGTTGTTTGTCAATTGTTCTATGGCTATAGATATCTATGATGTTTGTTATTCTTGAGTCTCGGAGAGTGTCATGGATCTGCTTGGTTTCCTCTTGCGGAGCCTTCATCCACAGTGATCTCCTTGGCAGAAAACCGTGGACTCCAGAATGGCGAGCGATTTTGAAGATGGAGTTCACGGTGTTCTTCGGTGTTCACCAAAAGTGTTTTCTCTTCGGAAGATCTTCGAGCTCGGAAGTGTTTTACTACTAGTAACAAGTGCCTTACTAGTAGTAACAAGGACGTTACCAGGAGCAGCTTTTCACAGGTTCACCGGAGACTCGGAGACCACACCCAGCGCTGAGGACTACCGCTGTAACAAGGCGCGCTTCACCAAGCCGAGGGTCTACTCGAAGTGCCAAAGTTGGGAAGACATCAAGGCGGGTCTGGGACCGTGCGGCGCTAGAAACAATAAGCTACTAGGAACAAGTGCATCGCTACTAGTAACAAGTGCCTTACTAGTAGTAACAAATTAGAATTAAATTAGAATAAATTAGAATGAAATTAAATTAGAATTAGACATCAAGGCGGGTTTCGGACCGTGCGGCGCTTCGGGACCGTCTGAACGGCGACGTCGCCATCGAAGGCCCTCCGCGACGGAGGTGTTTCTTTTCGATCTCGAAGCCGAAAGCTCCAAAGTCGCCTCCACCTGCCACAAACCCGGGGTGGTGAGGAGTGGTGCAGGAGGTCTGCTTCCGCAAGCCGCCATCAAGACGACTGCTCAAAAGCCCCCCCTTTCTTGATTTCATAAAGACCGAGACCTAGCAATTCTTTCCCATCACCCAAAATGCAACCCCGATCATTGTTTGGGGGAGAAGACTTCTCAGAACAACTGTGACTTTCTCCTAGCGGTGTGTCGACAACGTGTCGACACGCGAGGAATGGGCTCCAGAGCTGTGTAGCGCTGGTCTGGGCAGTCGCGCGGAGAGCCTGGTGACCACCACCACCGCAGAGTACCGCGGCACCAAACATGCGTCCACCCCGGCGACGGCCATGCGGCAGTAGGGAGCGCGTCATTTCGAGATAGAGAGAGGGAGAGTCCTATATAAATATGTTGTATTGGTGTCATCTGGTATGCCTCTCTGCACGTGTACTCATAGGCTTTTCTGGAATTAGGCATCATGAGTTTCATTCGGTGCCAACAAGGATTCGTGATCGAACATATCGATACTCTATGACTCTACGACAAAGAAGTCCATCATCCAGCGCCTCCCATTCTTTGGATATCCGAAGACCTTTGTTGCTCAAAGATCATATTTCTTGGCAAAGAAGAAGCGGATTCCAGAAAAGACATGAAACATGACGTATCTATCTTTAAACAAGAAAACTGAGACGCTTGAAAAGGCGATTCTTTCTTCGATGTCTTCAAGTCGACTCTGGAAGGCCCATCCTCTACGGCTCCGATGGGCTGCCGCTCGGGGAGCCGCTCGCATGAGAGCAGAGAGAGATGAAGAATCCGAAATCCGAAATCGTTTCGTAAACGTCATGAAGCCATGCCATATTTTTTGGGTACTAGTACCAACAGGCTACTAGTAACAAGTGCATCGCTTCTAGTAACAAGTGCCTTACTAGTAGTAACAAGAAGCTACTAGGAACAAGTGCAAGTTTTCACCGAAGTCCTGGTTGGAGAACTTAGACAAAAGATATGTGTCATTCTGATTGTGGAGATCAGCCCAAAGGTTTTTGGATACGTTGGAAGTTCCGAACTCTGTAAGCAAGGCAATTGATCGGCGCATTTTTGACTGCCCACTCCGGATCGCCTCCAACCTAAGAGCCATGGCCTCGAACCTGATAGCAATGGCCTCCAACCTAATAGCAATGGCCTCCAACCTAATAGCGATGGCCTCCAACCTACTAGCGATGGCCTCCAACCTCAAAGCAATGGCCTCCAGCCTACTAGCG